AACATGGAACAGAACCAGAAGCAGAGCCAAATATGTAAGAAAAGGCATTCCTTTGCACAATTGTGGTTTCAAGCTATACACAGTAATTCAGTTAGGGACCATAAATGATTTGGGATTAAATGAAGATAATGTAAAATTGCAGACAGTCATAATCCCCAATGCTAGCTCATATACTTGCTGCCCTGTATTTTATAACTGAAGTTTTCAGATAATTTCAAAGCCTTTATCTGGACAAAAGATAACTATGGCATGAATTACTATTTCTATGTAAGATCTAGCACAGTGGTTCTCAACCTGTGGGTCTGGACCCCATTTGGGGTTGAACGACCATTTCACGGGGGTCGCCAAACAATGCAGTCCGCCATTTTTTCCCCCTTTTCCTTAGCTGTGCTACTCCCTTTTATTCTATTGGCTTTTGAAAGCCAATAGAATAGACTCTCTTGAATAGAGTCTAATTCTATTGGCTTTCAAAAGCCAATAGGAATTGTCCAGGCTGTCTCTGCCCTGCTGAGCCCACCAAAAGTCCCATTCTGCAAGCGGTCCTGCACCAATTGAGTAGTCCTCGACTTACGACCGGTTGAGTAGTCCTCAACTTACGATGGTTGGGGGTTGCGGCATTAAAAAGGTTGAGAACCACTGATCTAGCAAATGTGTCAATTTCAACTGTTGCACAGAGCATATTAATGCATCTGATGATAAGAGATAGATCCAAAGTTATTTACATTTTACTTACCATCAGTTCTGTAGTCACGGTGCCTCAAAATCTATATTACTATTCTGTCTCAATTTGCAAAAAAAGTAATTACTTGATTTCCTATGATAGAATTAAGTGATGGAAAACACTCAATAAACAAATGGTGCTTTTTCATAAGAACCATTACTATTTAATGCAATTGGAGTCTTAGTTTATTAAAGAAGAGATGATTTCACATTTATATATTACTGATCTTTTCATTTGCCTTCACACTGCAAGTACATACTTAGAAATTTGAAGGCTTATTTTTAAAATTTTGAACTGATACTCTCACAGTACCCAAATAAAACTAGCCAGATGTGATTGCTACAAGATGTGATGGCTGACATACAGTACCGTATCAGTTAGGATTAGTCATCACCTCTGCAGCTGAATGAAGAACCAATTATTTTGAACTTGAACATTACTGACCAGAAATGAATTTCCGGGGCTCTTCTTTTATAGAGAGGTGAAATATCTTATTTCATATAAATTTCTTCTTCTTCCTATACACAAAATTTTTGTACAGGTAATCTTCGAGGTACGACAGTTTGCTTAGCTAACGTTCAAAGTTATGACACCATCCCCCAAAGTACTTACGACACAATCCTGAAGTTATGAATGCTGCAGCACCACAACAGTCAATCACCCTTACAGAGACATTGCAACATTCCCCCTGCCTATTCCCCCCCCAGGACCTAACAGGCACTGGGCCTGTGGAGATTTATTTATCTTGTGAAAATCTCCATCATCAAGCAAGGTGTCTCCTGTCCAGCCTCTCTGCCACAGTTCTTTTGCCTGTTCCTGGAGCACCAATAGCGGAACAGTGAGACCAGGCGCAGAGTGGGACAAGCATGCTGTGCTCATCTTGGCAGAGTCATACCCTTGCAGGCCTCTATTTTCCACAGCAAAGGGGATGTGCTTCTTCAGACTCACGGACTTGAGTCTAGTGCTCCAAAAGCAGATCAGGTGTCCCCTGCAGGCAGCTTTGGTGAGTCAGCCAAGCTGAGCAGGGTGCACTCATCCCACTCTGTCTTTGGTTCCCATTGCTCAGCTATTGGAGCTCCAGGAAAAATCGCAGCGGAGAGGAGACAATTCACTTGATCATGGAGATCTTCTCAAGGTAAATGAGTTTCCAAAGGCCCAGTGCCTATGGAGACCTGGTGGGGCAGGATGGAGGGAAGCAATTGTGGGGACCCCAGGGGAAAATGAAGTATCTTATTGAGTCGGGGGAAGCCTTGGGTGGTCTGAAGCAGGTGCCTGATCCAGCACTTGCCCCCCCATGGTCTTCCCCACCTCATGTGCACTTAACGACCTGTGCATTTGATTAATGAATGTGTTGGGGAAAGAGAGGAATTAATTAACGAATCCTCTGGTTATGAATGTAATTGGGAGGCTCCATTATATTCGTAATTTGAGAATTATCTATATAGAGAACATGGCTGCTGCTGCTGCAATAAGTGTTTAGCATTTGAAGAGCTAAATATGTATTAGAAACTTGTACAGAGAGGATATCTGATCAGAAATGACAAAAGAGAAAATAACAGATCGCTTACTGAATTTTTGTCTAAAAGGTTTATTATAAAAGTGGGAAGGGGAGGGAGAGAGGTCCAGTTACCTAGGAAAGGAATAGTGAAATATACTGACAACAATATTTTCTTATCTACTATTGCATTTTCAGAAAGGTTTCTGTCCATTCTATAAACTAGTAAAAATGTTTGTGCATATAAATTGATCTGTTTGGCAGTGTCATTAATCCCATTTGCAGTTTTAATCTATCACTTCTTCATACATGATGCTTATATGTTATGATTTTTAATATACAGATAGTCCTTGAATTACAACCACAACTGAGTTCAAAATTTCTGTTGCAAAGTTCATTTTGTACGTTAAGTACATTTTGCCTCATTTTATGATCTTTCATGTTGTTAACTGAATCACTGCAGTTGTAAAGTTAGTAACATGGTTGTTAATTGAATCTGGCTTCCCCAATGACTTTGCTTGTCAGAAGGTCACAAAAAGTGATCAAATGACCCTGGGACGCTGCAACTGTCATAAATAAGAGTCAATTTTTTGATCAGTGTGAACGTGGGGATACTGTAGCAGTTGTAAATGTGAGAAATGGTCATAAGCCCCCTTTTTAGTGGTATTGTAACTTCGAATGGTCACTAAAAGTACTGTTGTAATTTGAGGACTACCTGTACTGTCATTTTAATAACAATGGAGGCATGCACGCATCTTTAACTCCGAAGAGTTTTAAAAAGTTAGATGCTTTTGTTTCTTTAGGTTTGGGAGTGTTTTTTTGTGTTCCTCCTCAAGTTGTGCTCTCAGTATTATAGCCAAGTTAACAGAATAACTCAGATCTTTCAGCTTGGTAAACAAAAGACATATTAGCTGAGTTCCTAAGCTCATGAATATAAGAAAATAAATTGAGACTTTTGCGTTTTGGAGTGACTATAATGAAACAATAGTCCTTCTGACACAAATGATTAAGTCTTAAAAATGACCTTTGAGAAGTCAATCTGACATGAAACAGAATGAGTCTCTGTTCATTAGACTAGCAGTGCAGTAACCCCTAAAACATTCATCATTCCAACCAACCTGAAATGTAGTTTTTCTTAGAAAAATGCTTACCGCAATTCTGTAAAGTTCACCCCAGTACACAGTCCTATCTGGAACTGGAACCTACCTACTGTTCTGAGACTAAATTTCTGATTATTTTTTATGAGTTGGATTCTAGAGATCATTATTTCTTCATTTAGAATAAAATACTGATATCATAGGTTTCCACTGATAGCAGCTTTCCAAGGTAGTAAGAAATTATGGTGAAAAAGTAATACATAATTTCAAAAACAGAGTGACGATTCTGGAGGGAAGATGATGATGGAAAATGTCACTCCGAACCTACGTATTACTGACAGTGTGATTATTTCAACAGATGTTATTTGAAAGATTCAGCTATTAAAAAAGCATTTGAATTTCTGTCCTGTTCTAGAACATTCTCACAGTTCAGAATGTGTGAGAGTTGAGCACTTTACATCATGCCTCAAAGAAGTATTTGCATCCAAATTACCTCAAGCTTTATGTATTCTAAATATGCTAAATTTAAATATCTTTTAAAACACCAGATTTATGTGCCTGTAATATGCGATTATGGTATATACAACTGTTTTTCAATGTTCACGTTTGCTCTCAGAATCACTGGAATTAATAGCCTACCCAATTACTATGTAGCATGTGCTACAGTATTCGTTTGTGGTTATGTGTGGAATAAATGAAACAATTCTAAGAAAAATAGTGATAAAAGGAAACTTACACATGATCTATATATATCCCTTTTTATTTACCCTAGTAAGAGGCTAAAATATTCCAATTATTATTTTAAAAATATGCTTATTTTCTACTCAATTAAAATTAAGAATTGGCTGCCAGCAGTTCGGCAGTTCAATTCTCACAGGCTCAAAGTTGACCTAGCCTTCCATCCTTCCGAGGTTGATAAAATGAGGACTCAGACTGTTGGGGGCCATATGCTAACTCTTTAACCCACCTAGAGAGGGCTGTAAAGCACTGTGAAGTGGTATATAAGTCGAAGGGCTATTGCTATTCCTATTAAATATAATGGGATGTTCATAATCATATCTAGATATGCCATCTTTGCTGAAGAAGGGAAGCAAAGATATAGAAGTCTAAGGATTACTATATTATGACTTTTGAACTGGACTTTGGTTTGTAATTCAATACCTCTCTACTGAAATCTGTTTTACTAATAACACAACTGTGCTGAACTCACCTACCATAGTGTAAACTATGGTTTGTGGCAAGGTTGGTCAACTTTCAGCCCTAGTTGCAAGGAATCTCTGAACTCCCGCTCCCATCTTCAGAGCTGTCTATATCCATGTTTATATTAAAAACGATGCAAATTCCCATCTTCCTGCTTGATTAAAAAAAGTTGTATGTATTCCCACCAAAAGTTTAACATTGTTTCATAAATAATCATACCCAATAAAGCCAAGGAAGGATGGTGGTAGGGAAGCCTTTTCCACTTCTGTAGTGTGGCCCCACCTGCAATATTGCTAAGCCAGCTGTGACCAAAATTCTTGATTCTCTCCACCCCCATTGCACTCTGAAGTGCTCACCTCTGGCATAATTGTTTGATATGATATATAAGCATAATCAAATATGGCTCATTCAGTAAGCTTAAGCAACAGAGTATTTACACAAACAAACAAACCAACAAACCACAGGCATTTATTCTTATTTCCTTTAGAATTAGAGCAATGAAATCAAGGAGCATCTGGTCATTCCTCCTATTGCTTGAAGTTTTCATAGCAGTGGCTTATGGATGGATGGAATCAAACTGGAACGGACAATTTTATTCTGATTCTGGGAGGTTAACACAAGAGGTAAGGTAAAATTTAAAATTTACTTTTTTTTTGGTATTGTGCTTCTCCGTTCTTCCCAGTGTACATTTTGCCATTCGAATTGAGATTTAAATAAAACATAAGAATTTTAATAAAGTTCTGTAAGAAATGGAGCTGACACATGATTCAGCCTTGGCTTTTATTTTACCAACAACAAACACATAAGAAAATGTTGACTTTCCCAAGATTGCATAGTATGGTTCTTGGCTAAGAAAACTGACATTACGTTTCCCATGTCTGACTCAGAAAAACAATTATACAATCTTCTAATCTTTGGTCCAGGATTGATTTTCCGACCTTTAAAAAAACTTCCAAATCTATAGGTTCCCCAACAATAAATCTCAATTAGTAGTAGTGATAAACTGAATTGGGAAATAATGATATTCAGTTCAATACGCTGTTCTACAATATACAAGTAGTCCTCGACTTATGACTACAATTTTTCCCCAATTTTCTGTTGTTAAGTGAGGCATTTGTTAAGTGAGTTTTGCACCATTTTACTACCTTTCTTGCCACAGTTGTCAAGCGAATCACTGCAGTTGATAAATTAGTAACCTGGTTAAGTGAATCTAGTTTACCCATTGACTTTGCTTGTCAGAAGATCACAAAAGGTGATCATATGACCTTGGGACAAAGCAACGGTCATACATATGAGCCAGTTGCCAAGCGTCTGAATTTTGATCACACATTCATGGCAATGCTGCAAAGGTCATAACAGTGAAAAAGGTCATAAGTCACTGTTTTCAGTGCTGTTGTAACTTTGAACTGTCACTAACAAACTGTTGTAAGTCGAGGACTACCTGTAGTACAGTATTCTCTTTTGTCCATTCAAGTATGCAGGGTATATATGTCCAGTTCACATGTGACCCTTAAAACTATAATATCTTAATTATTAATTTTTGCTAGGAAGTACCTTGTTGGGATAATGAATGCATTTATTGTACATAAACGCAATACAGTATCTGAATTAAATTCTAAGAATAAAAGGCTATCAGCTATTTTCCCCCTCTGTCACATTCAGACACTTGTATGTGCACACACACGTATATACTAATGAATTGCTTAAATATTAGTGAAGATTTTGCGAAGCTGGGGATAAGTGAGATAAGGAAGTTTAAACTTGTTAAACTTAATTTATAAGATCCAGATTGTAGAAGAAAAATTTCATGTTTTTTTCCTCCCCCATCTTCAGTGTGCTGTTCAGGGCTCAAGACTAGCCATCCAGATTAGATCCCAGTTCTGAAACACATGTCCCATATGTTCTTACCAGTTATTTATGCTTGTATTTTAAATGTTTCTCAGGTAACATATTGCAAAATCTTTCCTTTCAACAATAATAGGCAGAGAGAGAGAGAGAGTTCTCCACCCTCACTTTTGCTGCTTAGGTAGCAACATGCTGTGATCTAAAGGCTTACAAGAACTACATAGGGCTGATGACTTAATTAGTCTAAGATGACTTTGCTTATCTCTCTCATTTAATAGAATAGATTAACAGAAATCTTAACATGTTACTTATGAATCTACTCCTAATAGCAGTAATAATACTACAGTAGCTATAGCAGCTAAACATTAGCATAATATTTTAAATTCTGTGCCTTGTGAAGCTAAAGGTCTCCCCATTAACAACCTGACATTTGAAAAAGAACAATGTGACTTGAATGAAATCAGTTTCTGAAATAACTTAGTAAATGATTTAGCGGTAGTTTTTCATATGAAAATTGCACAGAAATATTTATCTACTTGATCTTCTTCTGCAACCCTAAAGTTATTAAACAAATTGCTTGTTTGATTTGAGATATTTTATGTGTGGATGCATTAGTCCACCCACTTGACTATTTAACAAGTGTGAAGAATATGGAAAATTGCAGCTCCAACTAAATGACCACTTTTATATTAGTACAAATAGAGAGCCTCCCCAAATCCAGTCAAATTCTGCACAATCACAGATAGTTTGCAAATACCATCTAAATTAGATTTCTCCAATCAGTGTCATTAAAATATGGCAGGAGCATTTGTAGCCTGTATAGAATTTCTAGCCTATGTAACTAATATTTCTGGAGGATACCATAATGGAGAAAGTTAACCTAGAAATGATCTAGAAGTACCAGATTTCTCTTTAACATACTATGTATGCTTTTTATTTAAATCACAATTTATCCTTATCTTTAACCAAGGCTTTCCTGGAGTATATTATAGCATTTAAACTTACACTGCTTCATAATGTTTTATAGCTCTCTCTAAGTGGTTTACAGAGCCAGCATATTGCCCCCAATAGTCTGGGTCCTTATATTACCAACCTCAAAAGGATAGAAGGCTGAGTCAACCTTGAGCCGGTCAGAATTGAAACTCTTGGTAGTCAGCAAATTAGCCTGCAATACTGCATTCTAACCACTGTGTCACCACGGCTCTTTATTATAGAAGTAAACAAGTCCTTAACTACCAGGTTTACAAGTCAAGAGAGTGGAAAAGAAGGTGAGAATAGAGGCTTGAAAAAAGGAAAACCAGGCTCCTTTGTTTGATAAAATGAGCAACACAGCTGTTCAGGGAGAGAAGGAGCTGTTCTTTCAGCAAAGTTCTTAAAATAATCCTGCTTCCCTTCTTTTCTGCTTTAATCTCATTAGGGTTAATGGATTTGAGTATTCTAGAAAGCCAAAACAATTCAGGCTGCTATTGATCTGATTTTAGTCTTGTGCTTGATATTTACTTCTGCATGGTAGGAATTGTAAAATGGAGCCTACATTAGTAAGTAAAGCCTAATGTGCAAACTTGTGAAGAGGAGAGTAGCGTTTGAGATCAGTTTGATTCTGAGTGAGGGAAAAATTGCTGAGTTTATTCATAATGAGAAATGTTTAACTGTCAGAAATGGTCTGGTTTTTATGTATCAAGAAGGCAAAATTGGTAGATTCATACATCTCACTAATGGCCAACGATGAAGAGTCATGAACTGGCACTGCACACAATGGAAATGCAAATGATTAGATGGTCATTAGGAGTCAAATGGCTGAATCATGTTACGAACAAAGATATCTGGAAGGCTTTCCAATTCCAGACAAAATGAGAGGAGCACTACAGTAGTAATATGGACATGTAGTCAGAGCTGGAATCCATCATGAGCCAGGCACCCCAAAGACAACCAAAAAAGTGATGGGTAGATTACCTGCATGAAGACATGTGAGCCATAGGCATACACCCTGTTGATGCTGCAGACTGGACAAAATGGCGGACCCTGTGACATGATGGGAATAACACAAAGAACAATAACAAAAAGAAAATACATAATTTCAAAACCTAACCAACCAGGTTGTATATGAATTAGGATGCTTAAATCAATTCTTGCCTGCTGGTTCTCCATTAAATCTGCCTAAGCTTATTTCTGCAGGTTGCAAAGTTCTATATTGGAATTAGCATGGTAAAAAAATATGTCTGGAATGGCAATAGATTTGTTTGGCAGGAAAAAAAATGTAGGAGGAGAAAGCAGAATGTTCGTCCTGCTTTTAATTGCTCAAAACTTGACTTTTATTTTCTGGGAAAAGCAGTCATTAGGCTTTTGTTCCCTTTTGACTCCTAGATAAGATCTATGGTCTAAAAAATAAATCTCAGAGTCTTTATCTGTTAAAATTCAGATTTCTGTTGTTTTTTCCCCAAAGTAGGACTAGGATTTAATTCCTGGTATCTCTGTGGAACTGCAATTGGATTATACCTGTTTACAACTTATTTAGGCTAATCTTGAAGAGGATTTAAGTATTTTATGCTGCATAACCATATGCAGATCAAACAAACGTAATTATTGGAGATAAACAAAGAATGAGTTGATTATCTTGTTAATTGCTGTAGAAAATCCTGATCCTTTTATTCACTCTGTTTCCATTCTGCCCCCCCCCCCCAAAATATCTTCTATTCTGGTAAAAGACAAAACAAGTGAAGGGTCTTTCTGTCCACACTTTTCTATGCTTTTTAAAGCATAAGTAAGCAAAGGCATTGGTTATGTGCTTTGTTGGAGATTATAGCTATTCATGTTTCAAAAATTATTTGGTATAGAGCTTTGGAATCAGGACAGGCGGACTTCTTTAAAAAGTCATCATTTTTTTCATGTTCATGCAGAAAAATGAAAAAAAATGATATATTACTTAAAAGAAGCATTCCAGAGCACCATTTCCAACTAAATTTTGAAGCCTGCACAGTCATTATAGAAACTGTCTTTATACCATAATAAACTGCATAGCTATTACAATGGATTTTATTTTGTAACAATTATTGATTTTAGGAGATAGGACTAATGCCTGAATTGTTTAAGTTAGAAAAAAGAAACTAAAAAAATATGCTGCTGATTAAAGAAGTGGTTTATTAAGAAACCCGGTGGCACAGTGGTTAAAATGCAGTATTGCAGGCAAACTCTGCCCATAACCTAGTGCTCGATCCTGATGTGACTCAAGGTTGACTCAACCTTTCATCCTTTCAAAGTCAGTAAAATGAGGACCCAGATTGTTGGGGACAATATGCAAATAATGCTTCCACATTGTAAACCGCCCCAAAAATGCTGTGAAGTGCTATAGGGCACTCATATACTGTGTTTTCCCGAAAATAAGACTGGGTCTTATTTTTATTTTTTTGCCTTCAAAAGAGGCATCAGGTCTTATTTTCAAGGGGGATGTCTTTTCCACTCACCTCCAGCACTGACAGTCCCACCCAACTGGCCTACTTCTTCTGCGGCCGAAGGAGCAGCTTCATTCTGCTACTCAGAAAAGAGCTTGGGCCTGCATTTTGCAGTCAGGCCTTTCTGGAAGGCCTCTGCAGCCAAGAACTGAGCTATGGATTGAATCCATAGCTTGGTTCTCAGCTGCAGAGGCCTTGCAGAACCAAGTTTTGGATTGAATCTGTAGCTCAGTTCTCAGCTGCAGTGGTCTTCCAGAAAGGCCTCTGACTGCAAAATGAAGGCTTGGGGATGCTGCAGAAGAAATGGGCTGGTGAGGAGAGGCTTGGCT